CAGTGAAACAGTAAATTAAAAGAAATAGTTGCTACATTGTTCCCTCCTTTCTCTCTCTTTTAGACTGAAGATTCTTTGGGATAGGAACTATCTCTGTGACTGTGTTAATGTTTCCAAATAAGTATATTAGGGATGTGAACGGTCACTCAGTGCATAGTCAACCTCTGGAACTCCTTGCCAGAGGATGTGGTGAAGGGTAGGACTTTAACAGGGTTCAGAAAAGAGCTAGATAGATTCATGGAGGTTAGGTCCATCAATGGCTATTAGCCAGGATGCGTAGGAATGGTGTCTGTAGCCTCTGTCTGGAAATGGTTGACAGGGGAGGAATTGTGTGAGGATTACCTGTTGTGTTCCCTCCCTCTGGGGCATCTGGTATCGGCCACTGTCAGCAGATAGGACACTGGGCTGGATGGACCTTTGGTCTGACCCAGTATGGCTGTTCTTATGTAACTGGTTACCCAGTAAGCATCACTCTTACCGAGTGATGCATACTGGTTAACTGGTGCCTGGGAACAGCCCCCTGCCTGTGGCCTGCCCCAGCAGGGCTGGTAGCAGTGGCAGTCCCGGGGCTGGGAGTCGCCTGTCACCAGTGGCGGCAGCAACCCGAGCCCTGGGGCCAGGGATCCCACTTAGTTGGTTAACCTAACATTTAACCCGTTAGGGGATTAATAGGGATTTTACAACCCTAGATTATACCCTTCTGTTTTCCCCTGTGCATTATCTTCTGCTTACCATATGTAATTTCATCTGCCATTGTACTCTGCAGTTCTTCAGGAACTGGACTTGGAGTTTCTCTCAATTCTTTATACTTCTCACTAGCTGGAACAACTTAATGTCATCAGCAAATTTTATCATTTCCCTGTCAGTTCCACTGAGCCATACCTGAGCGGCCCAGAGCAATGAGCTGTGGGACTAGGCTACTCCTGCAGAATGAGAGCAGGAGCAGGCTCTCACACTCTCCAAATTCTGTCCCCTCACCTGCACCCTTGAGACTCCTCACCACGCCAGGCTGAATGAAGTATATGTTCGCATAGGGCCCTGTGCCTCATTGGCTTTGTCTACACTACACATTTCTGTGGCAGAAAATATGCTAATGAGGGGCTCATTAGCATGAGCCGCGACGACATTAGCATATTTTCTGCTGTTTCTTCTGTCCTGGAGAGGCAAAAACCCTTTGTGCAAAAAGAAACGGTAGAAAGTATGAGTCCCTCATTAACATATATTCTGCTGCCAAAATGTGTAGTGTAGACATAGCCACTGAAAACCTTCTCTATCCCACTGTAGGGGAAACACCTAATCTAATGACTGTTACGATCATATGAAAATATTCTTCCATTGTGGGTATACTGACAATGTCTTCACTCTGTAATACCTGTAGAAAATATGCAGGACCTTTATGTAGGTGCAGGTAAAGTTACTTAGTCTGAGCTAAATTTAAAAGGTGTTTTGAGCAAAAGGTTTTTGTATAGTGTGCGAAGGGGTTTGAATGTAAATTGCACAGGGAGATAGATTGGAATTGTGGCAATAAACCTTGAAATTGTTTTATTCTTTTGTCATCTTTGTTCTCAACCCATCATAATTTATTTTCTTGTATGAGCAATGGCAACAGAGTTCTAGAAGCTGTGCCTATTAGGAGATGGGATGATAGAAGAGTTGTTGCCCATTTCAGATTTGCCTGTCCTTCTGACACTTGTAAGAAGAAGACTGGTGAAAATCCCATTTCAAAACCTCACAAATTGAATAAAGTTTTTAGTTTGTCAGCAAAGTCCTTCCCAATACCTCGAAAAACCATTTATTTCCAAGAGATGGGAGAACAGTAAGTAAATAGTAATCTCATTGAGCCTTGTACAGAATGTGACATAAATCCAGCATAATTTTACACAACATTTTGTACTCCTTTCCCTTGACTTCCTTTTGCTACCTCTTATGAGTAATTATGTCTTCAGTATCTTATCTGCCCTTTGTGGACTCTCTCTTGCTTTGTGATGTGTAAGCATGGACTGCCACGTATCTTGTGACATCGCACGATTGGATTCCCTGGGCAGAATGCTGTGTGTTAAATACAAAGTGCAGTGCAGCACATGAACACAATACACACAACGCAAATTAAAAAATGCTTTGTCCAGTTTGAATATTTCTATTGTAAATTAGTGTGGGTCCGTGCTCACATCAGTTGATCCAATCTTTTCTCTGGTAGCACATCATGCTTGCCATTAGCAGATAATCCTCCTACTTTATATGTTCCCTTCACAAGTGCTCTCACCTTCTTTCTCTTCTGATCATTTTCTCATCATTTTTTTTTCCCTGTCTCATTTGTGTGCATGGTTGCTTTCCTCCGTTTGCTCTCTTTTCTCTTGCTTGGTGATTCCTCCTCGTTTCTACTTACTGGGAAGCTAACATGTTGCTTGGAGTGCAGGCATCTATTACTGGCTGCATGGAGCTAGGTCATGCATGCTACTGCAGCTGAACTAAATGCAGCAGGTTCAGAGAGAAGCAGCTAATGTTAGGGATATATAAAACCTTTCTAAAGCTCTCTATGTATGGTGCTCCTGTAGCTAGTTGCATTAGAGCTCTCTTTGGGGGCAGGGTTGGATGGTAGGTCATTTCAAGATTTTTGTTGTTGATTTAAATCGCCTTGATTTAAATCAATCCTCTCGGGAGCTGATCCAGCCTACATTTTTGCAGCTGCTCCCCAGAATGTTGAAACACTTTCATGCCCCCTGAGAGTGAATTAGGGTGCTACATGGATAAAACCTGTTCCTGATTTCCCTGCTGGTCCCAGGACATCAGTGAGTCTGGCAACCTATGTCTTCTCATTTGGTCCAAGGAACCGGCCCTCCTTGCCCAAAAACCACCTCTAGGGAAAGCAAGCTGAAACCACCTCTAGGGAAAGCAAGTTTCTTGGCCTTACTACACACTGTGAACTGACCTGTTCTTAAGACAGCTGTGGATCTGAACATTGGTAAAACACTCTGAGAGCCTTCAGCAAAAGGACCTAGTTGAGTGAAAAAAATCTTATCAATGTTATGTATCCGTCCAAACAAATAGCATTGTTGCAGAGCTTTTACAATGCCAAGATTTCCAAGCCACGTATTGAGAATAGGAAGGAGCTGTTTGGGGATACTCTGTGGGTAATCTTCAGCCTACGTAATGCCAGAATAATTTGGGTTTTCCCCTTCTCTTTGGTGTTGACTTTGATATGAAAAATAAATCATTGCAAACCTTGCTTATGTTGTCATGTTTTAATTGTTTTACTAGATCAATTCATGGAGGTTAGGTCCATCAATGGCTATTAGCCAGGATGGGCAGGGGTGGTGACTCTTGCCTCTGTTTGCCAGAGGCTGGAAATGTTTGCCAGAGGCTGGAAATGGATGTCAGGAGAAGAATCACCTGCTATGTTAACTCCTTCTGGGATTTCTGGCATTGGTCACTGTGGGCAGACAGGATACTGGGCTAGATGAACCTTTGGTCTGACCCAGAATAGCAGTTTTTATGCTGTCCAGTTATTTATACCAAACAAGAAGGCGCTTAGGGCTAAGATGAACAAAATTATTTGTGTATAAATTCTTAAACATTTGGCAGAAGAAAATCTGGATCTATGAAACCTTTTTCTTTGGTGAAAAGATGTGCAAACTAACAGTGTGTTTGTAAGATAGAAATGGAAATATGTTCTTAAACTCTTTATCTTGGACTCGGATTCTACAATTTGATCTGTATGGGAAAAGCTCCTTATTCTTGTATGGACCTCGGTATGGCTCAATTATGGTACAGGGTGAATCTGCACAGATCTAATTGCAGCTTTGGGTCCTTGCTTGATAGTTTTTGTGCAGCCCTTCTTCCTCCCATGCGATTCATCTACCTGAAAAGTTTTCTTACATAAAATCACATGTATATTTCATGTCAAAGTTGGAAGAAATTGCCATGTGAAGGCCTAAATTGGTTACGGCTGGAGGAGGTGGATTGGTTACAGATTGTATTTCCCTGGAAATCATAGAATCTCAGAGGTGGAAGAGACCTTAGGAAGTCATCAAGTCCAGCTCCCTGCCCAAGGCAGGACCAATCCCAACTAAATCAACCCAGCCAAGGCTTTGTCAAGCTGACACTTAAAAACCTTTAGGGATGGAGATTCCACCCCCTCCCTAGGGAACCCATCCCAGTGCTTCCCTACTCTCCTAGGGAAATAGTTTTTCCTAATGTCCAACCTAGGCCTCTCCCATTGTAACTTGAGACCACTGCTCCTTGTTCATCACTACTATGAACAGCCTATCTCCATTCTCTTTGGAACCTCCCTTCAGGAAGTTGAAGGCTGCTCTCAAATCCCCCCTCACTCTTCTGCAGACTAAACAAACCCAAATCCCTCAGCCTCTCCTCATAGGTCATGCGCTCCATCCCCCTAATCATTTTGGTCACCCTCCGCTGAACTTCAATGCATCCACATCCTTTCTATAGTGGGGGACCCCAGAACTGGACACAATACTTCAGGTGTGGCCTCACCAGAGCCGAATAAAGGGGAATAATCACTTCTCTGCATCTGCTGGCAATGCTCCTCCTAATGCAACCTAATAGGCCATTAGCCTTCTTGGCTACAAGGGCGCACTGTTGACTCATATCCAGCTTTTCATTCACTGTAATCCCCAGGTCCTTTATCTGCAGAACTGCTACTTAGCCATTAGGTCCACAGCCTGTAACAGTCTTTGGGATTTTTTTATCCCAAGTGCAGGACTCTGCACTTGTCCTTGTTGAACCTCATCAGATTTCTTTTGGCCCAATCCTCTAATCTGTCCAGGTCACTCTGAACCCTATTCCTGCCCTCCAGCATATCTACCTCTCCCCCTAGCTAAGTGTCATCTGCAAACTTGCTGATGGTGGAATCTATCCCCTCATCCAGGTCACTAATAAATGTTGAACAAGCATAGCCATTGGAAGTTATTCTCTGTGTGGTCGTGGTCATGTAGTTTATTTTGCTCTGACAGGCCCTTTGGTCTTTCTTATCCTTTCAGAGTAAGTGAGGAAAAGGAAGAGACAGAAGAGCGACTGAGAGCAGAACAGGAGTCATTTGAGAAGAAGATCAGACAGCTAGAAGAGCAGAATGAACTTATCGTCAAGGAAAGGGAAGATATCCTTTAAAAAAACAGTGTGTGGTGGGATTCACTGTCTGAAATAACAAGTGAACTGCAGAGAAATAATTGTTCTAATTTATAGCAGGGAATAAATCTGCATGTGCTGCCATTCAAAAGCAATCAGAGATGACTTGTCAGCATGTGCTGCTGGTTCATTTGAGCTTGAAACTGCCATCCAGCTGTTCCTCTGATGTTATTTTGCTATGAAATAGATATTTGTCAACTACAAACGACAATAAGAAGTTTATGCATTAAAATGTGGTTATAGATTTTTTCACTTAATCCCTTTAGAGGGTTGTAATTGAGGTCTAAAGCTGCTTTCCCATGGCTTTCCACTGCGTTCAGTGTCCAGAAACAAAGTTTACACTGAAGACATTGAAATACAATAAACCTTGAAATCAGGGGTTTGGCTAACTCCTACTGGCAGAGGTTAGCAAAGTATTTATTGGAACCAAACATTTAAAAAAAAAAAAGCAACGGATCCAAATTATGCCATTTTGATCCAGATTAAAAACTGAAAAACATGTTATGATGCCACTGGACTATGATCTGCACAGATCTATGCACTGGGGTCCAGTTGCATGGATCAGATTGCAGGATCCTGGCCTTAGTTTATAACTAGGGTGAGTATACAAGGGATCTCTGAAATATGTTGGGGCCTTGACCTGTCTTGTATTTCACCCCCCCAAGTCCTGGTACTCACCCTGCTGCCTTTCTAGTTTAAATCTTCAGAAGGCTAACTAACAATCCCAACAGGGAATACAGGAGAGGGTTTAATACAGTGACATTACTGGTGATAGAAGAAACAGTTCACTGTACTGTTGAATGGTATACAAACTGACGGGATTTGCTGGCTATGATGTAGTTGCTGAGAAATATCAAGGCCCATGTTTGTGTCACAAAATACAATACATTTGCAAAGACTTTTCTAACTTCAGACTTGGTTTCAGTAAGACCATAGTTTGCAGTTTTGCACTGATTTCAGTAGGGTCAGGATTTTGTTGTAGAGTGTTCTAGTTCTTGGATCTTAATGTGCTTATGTATTTAAGTGAGATGTATGCTCTGGGGGAATATTATCTGAATTGGCGAATATGTACATGTAACTTCCATTAATGCTAATGACTGTTACTCAGTCACTGGGAAGGAAATATATCCCTTTAATAGTTTTTTGTCTTTTTTTTTTAACTTTTATAAAAAATGGGTTCAGGCATAAGCATTTTTTTCTGGGAGAAGTCTGGCAAAGATGGCAGAAAGTTAGTAATGCAGTTTTACACTATTATAAAACCTCTGAACATAAACCAGAGGATATAATTTAAAACAATATATAACTTTAAGTATGGGAACAGTTATTCATCATGCATGAATGATTCAAAATCGTTCACGTACCTCCGATCAGTTAATTTTCAGACCTCTTGAAGTCTGTTCCAGTGCCTAGGAGCTGTACAAAGGCTTATTGAAGTTGAATACAAATTCTTGCTATTTGACAAATAAAGCAATATCACTTCACGTTCTGTTCAAATGCACAGGGAGTTATTCGCATACATGGTAACAGGCATATAATAATTTAAAGAGAAGGCTGGTGGACTCAAAATTTGACCTACCTTATTCTTTTTTTAGAAAACTTAATGTAATTAGCTCTTTACTAACAAACCATTGTATTCAGCAGAGTGCTTAGAAGAGCCTTAGGTTACCAAACTAATCTCTCTAGTCTGGTAAGGGCAAATATCAAACCAACTATAGCTTTAGCCTTCCCTGGCATTAGTTTGAATATCAGAAAGAAATTACTGAGGAACTTACACATTATCTTGTCTTTTTCTTTAAAGAGAAAAGTCTTTATTTCCTCGCAAGCAATAACTAGCTGAGAAGGCACTTTACTGTGTACTTAATGGCCAGTTGTATGGTGTAGAAGTTCAGAGGGAGTTCTGGAGGACTAGGCTGAGGGATCATTGGTGTATAAATGAGCCAGATTCTAATTTGACTCCCAGTTGCCTGCATAGGGTTAACAGGTGTCCGGTTTTGAACCAGACAGTCCAGTATTTGAGCTTTCTGTTCAGGAAACAAATTGAGGAAAATATAAATGAACGGTATTTTCTAATTAAGATGTAATGTAGATTGTGATGTAATGTCAAGTGTGTCCAGTATTTTTGTTGAAACCATCTGGCAATCCTATGCTTGCAAGAAGCTAAATGGGATTTCATGCTCTGTAGAGATCACACACAATTTTGTATCCAGCTATGAACAGTTTCTCAGAGTAGGGAGCAATGGGCTAGTGTCTTTTATTAGAATCTGGTTTGAACCAATCTCCTGATTGATCACTATTACAGGTTGGCCCTCTCTAGTCTAGCACCCTCAGGACCTGACTGGTTTCGGACCATGGAAGGTCAATATTGTCTAGCAGCATTATCAACGCTTCCACTTCTTATTGGGCTGCTAGAGGACATTTAGGGGTAAATTAGAGCTAAATAACAGCACAGAATGCTGAGGGCTAGGACTGTTTTGGCGGTAAACAAACTGTATGGGACCACGGGAAACTTGGCCACACCCATGAAAAGTGGACATTCAGCTAACTTAAAATAATTCTGGGCCATGGATGTTTCCAGGCCGGAGAGTTCTGGACTAGAGAGGTTCATCTGAATTTGGTTAGAGAACCGTACAAATCAAAACCTTTGAAAACATGAGGAAAGCGTTTTTCACATATCTAGTGGGCTAGGCTTGAAAGCACACTTCAACTGAGTACTTTCCATTGGTGAGTAAAATTTAACAGATGACAGCCCTGCCCAATGCTCGGTGTGAATCATTGGCAGAGTAAGACAAAAAGCTCCCAATTATAAGAAGGCTGTAATCAGGGCTGGTAGCACTGCCTATCTATAAGGTGGCCTGGCTCTACCCATTATAAAACCCTCTTTTTAGTTGCTTGTAACTTTCCCAAATTTATTTATTTTTCTTCCTTCCAGAATCTGGGAAGGAGATGGACTGATTCTCAGTAAGACACTGCTCCTGGCCCAGTTGGGGAACATGTCCCCTCCCCTGATCTTTTAGGGTTAGTTGTAATCTTTTATATAGAAGTCTAGTAAGTGTTCAAGGCATATGAAGCAGACACTTGCTATCAGTAATTTAGGGCCTAAATATGACCTACTTTCAGACACTAGGGAAATAGCCTCTGATTTATATCTTTTTTTAAAGGCAAGTATTTCTCCTAGAGATGCCCAGATAGTATAGTGATGGATACCTTTGAAAAATGTGCAATAATAATTCTGTCATTAAGAAAGAAGTGGCACTATTATTGCAAGACTTATTAGCCGATGTTTGTTGCTTTGTGGTCTCTCTTGCTGGCTCAGCTGCATCAGATAAAAATTGCTTTGTTCTTCTGGTGTTAATGCATAACCATGGAGGCAAACCTGCCTCAAGATTTTTGTGAGGGTAAGGATTGGAATCAGCATTTTTCAAATGGGGGAAGGGAGGGAAGAGGAAAAAAAAACTTCTCCAGGCTTTAGATTGTAAGGAGTATTTGACAATGACTCTTATTCCCTGCTCAAAATGATCAGAACTTGAAGAATTCTGGTAAGTGTAAAGTAATGCACATCGGGGAAAAATAACCCCAACTATACGTACAGTATGATAGGGGGCTAATTTGGCTATGACAAATCAGGAAAGAGATCTTGGCGTTATCGTGGACAGTTCTCTGAAAACTTCCACACAGTGTGCAGCGGTGGTCAAAAAGGCAAATAGGATGCTAGGAATTATTAAGAAAGGGATAGAAAATAAGACCCAGAATATCTTACTGCCCCTGTATAAAACTATGGTACGCCCACATCTTGAATACCGTGTACAGATGTGGTCTCCTCACCTCAAAAAAGATACTTTGGCCTTGGAAAGGGTTCAGAAAAGGGTAGCTAAAATGATTAGGGGTTTGGAACGGGTCCCATATGAGGAGAGGTTAAAGCGACTGGGACTTTTCAGTTTAGAAAAGAGGAGACTGAGGGGGGATATGATAGAAGTATATAAAATCATGAGTGGTGTGGAGAGGGCCGATAAAGAAAAGTTATTTATTAGTTCCCTAAATAGAAGAACTAGAGGACACCAAATGAAATTAATGGGTAGCAGGTTTAAAGCTAATAAAAGAAAGTTCTTCTTCACATAACGTGTAGTCAACCTGTGGAACTCCTTGCCAGAGGAGGCTGCGAAGGCTAGGACTATAATAGAATTTAAAGAGAAGCTAGATAATTTCATGGAGGTTAGGTCCATAACAGGCTATTAGCCAGAGGATAAAATGGTGTCCTTGGCCTCTGTTTGTCAGAGGCTGGAGAGGGATGGCAGGAGACAAATCACTTGATCTTTGTCTTGGGTCTACCCTCTCTGGGGCACCTGGTGCTGGCCACTGTCAGCAGACAGGATACTGGGCTAGATGGACCTTTGGTCTGACCCAGTACGGCCGTTCTTATGTAAGAATTCTTGGTGGATGTTGAGTTTCCATTCTGAATTAATCCTTTCCGCTTCTCTTTTATTCACAATATTTTTTTGCCCATCAACCCTATAGACTTTTACTAGAGTTTTTACATTGGGACTTTTTTATATCTCACAAATTATGACAAAACATGATCTGTTGATTTGAAGCAACAGTAAAATTTATTTAACAAATTGTTGTCAATATTCAGAGGGGTAGCCATGTTAGTCTGAATCTGTGAAAGCAACACGGAGTCCTGTGGCACCTTATAGACTAACAGATGTATTGGAGCATAAGCTTTTGTGGGCAAAGACCCACTTTGTCAGATGCATGTAGTGGAAAAAGAGAAACTGCTGAGGAACAGTTCATCTGCAAATTTGACACCATCAGTTTAGGATTAAACAAAGACTGTGAATGGCTAGCCAACTATAAATGCTGTTTCTCTTCTATTGGTGTTCACACCTCTAGATCAGCTGCTAGAAGTGGGCCTCACCCTCCCTGACTGAATGAACCTTGTTAACTCTAGCCTTATTCTGGCCTGCATATTTATAC